GGATTACTGAGATGCATCAGGACATCTCAGACTGAAGAAGTCTCTTGGAGGAGAGATGAAACGTATCATTAGAGAAGAACCCGTCCAGAGGACCTAGACAATTTTTTTCTTTTTGTTTTGTAATCATTTTTCAATCCATGATTGAAAWACATAAACACTACAGCAGGAACAACACATAATGTACATTTACATTGCATTTCAGACTAAATTGAAATAAATTGAAGTGATTTTAACAATTTTCCATATAACAAATTTTTATTATAGCATTTTTCTCGACGCAAACGTGTGCACATGATGCATAATTCCTATGTTCACAAAGGAATTTCAGTAAGGCTTCATTGCGCATGCGCGACACATTCCATACCGGAAGGCGAACACCATCCCGAGTGATTCATCTTTCAAACTCACACGATCTTTGTTGCAACTCTTATGACAAGCAGCTCCATAAGGCTCACAAAAAAGTAAGTTGACAGCTTTGTAATTGACACCTGTGGTCCCATCAGAGCTGCGTGTACGGGGAACGAGAGCTGTTGTGTTGTTTTTCTYCATGATGCCCCAAGGCATCTTCCTCCAGAACCGGGCGGGGTGTAACGGAGTTGCTTCTCGAACGGGTCCAACTGTTTTGGACTTCGAGCTTGTTAGCCTTAGCCACACTTAGCATTAGCTTGCTGCCTCTAACATACATGCACAGGACAGGTAGTACTTCCTGTTTAACCCACATTCGTCTGCTCTGGCATCAATTTTCTATTGAGGAAATTGGCAGCTGAAAGGGGCTTATTAATAGAACAGCGGCTAAGAATAAACTGCAGTGACTCTTAGCTCGCCGCTCGCATTTTTTCCTGTTTGTGTTGTTTGCGTCAAGTTATCAGTTCATCAGAATGAGGGCTTAAAACATAGACGCGTTTCAGTAAGTGTAATTAAACCTTCTGTCAGGTAAACTGCAGTYTAAATGAAAGCTGAACTTCTATTGATGTTTCGACTACACTCCCCCCTCAGGCCCGGACATTAACAGCGTGCTTTGCTGCAGTAATTTATGTGGGAGAGACCAAATCACCTGTCTGTCAGGTGATAATGCCAGCATCAGTTCCATCAGTAACATGCATCCTGCATGTTTTCCTCGTTTCCCTCCAAAACACCTGATTCAATTATTGAATTTAGCTTTTCAAATTCTGTAGACGCCTGTTAATCATCCATATGCAAATCAGGTGTGTTGATGCAGATGTCATAACCCTGTAAAACTTGCAGGACACCAGTGAGTTATCTGACTGAATGCCGTACAGATGTGTAATAGAAATGAAAGCAGCCATACTTGCTCCCATTAACATTGCTGCAGCTGTTGTCACTTTTTTCTTTTCTCAAACCTTTTTTTTTTTTTTTTTGGGTCAGTACCAGGGCAGATGTTTGGATGACCTCGTCACCATCTTTTGTCATTTAGGAGGTTAAATGACTGGCAAAACTTTGGGATTAACAAATCATAATTACCTGAGTGAAAACACTTTTGAGATGACTCCAAGACTTTCACAAAGATTCACTTTAAATTCATGTCATAATAAACATACTGGACAGTTGTCAGTAGATTGCTTTTGTTGCATAAATTTACTTGGGGGGTAAAAAAACAAGAACATCCCTATTATTTTGTAAACAGTAAATGCTATCAACATCCCAACAARCAGTGCTGAGTGCTACAGCTGACGTTGGCCAGTTTTCTGTTTTGCCATAAATTCTACGTTTCTTTGTCATTAAAGAAACATGTCACCAGAGAACTAAAGAAAAGTCTCAGTTTATCCTGTGTCACGCTGCCATTGCTCTTCAGGTCAGAACAGTGTACTTTTGTCATCATTTTTCGTGCGTACCTTTTTATGTAACCTAAACACAAAGATAACATGCTTGTATTTGACTAGGACAATAACTTGTGTGTTTAAGTTTGAACCTAACAGGAAGTGATTCAGTAACAGTTGGGTGAAAATTAGAAACAGGTATCGATGCGCTCACTTCAGAGCTGTTTAGTCAATGTTATGAGATGCTGAGTATGTGCAGAATCAAATGTTATAAATTGTTATCATTGTTATAAACTTTATTCATTTCATAAAACATAATTCTATGTACAATAAAAAAGAAAATACAATTAAAATGAAMTGAAAGGTGGCAGAGAGAAGAAAAATTCTTATATCTGCCCCTTTTTTCCTCAAATATAGATTCAAACTATAAGGATCTTCAGTTAACAAAACAAAACATTGAAACTTTCTAGAACAACAAAGTGAATGTCTTCATACTGAACAATTTCATATTTTTTTTAACAGTCCAGTCTTTATCATTCTCTTAAATATGCATATTGATGTGACACTTTTAACATTGTCTTCTAAATTATTCCACTAAATTATTCTACAAATGTAGATGAGATGGATGATTGTTTGTTCTCTGAAACTTAACTTTTCAGATTTATAAACGCCTACAGCTGAGTGAAATAGGCACCCTGTTATGTCAGACCTGAAGTCACACCTTAATTCTTGAAAGGACTTATTCATTTAAATAGTTGAGACACAATTGTAACAAAATGCCAGCACACACCCTGCTAACTAAACTATGAATTCACTCCCTGAGTTAAAGTAGTGTTTGTTAGGAACGCAGTCTAAAAACGTAGAAGACAAAAACGTGTAAAATTAGACTGGTTTCAAAAAAATTTCTTAAAGGGCCCAGCCTAACCCTAAAGGGGATTTTGATGTGCTTTTGAAAGAGAGTTGTGTCTCATAAATCGATCTCAGTTTGAAGAATCAGGAAGTAGTTTTTAGGGTGTAAGCTCACCGATACTCAGACCAGGATCGATGGATGARCAGATTTCCACCAACCCACAATATAAAAAATGAAATATTTAACACTTTGATTGAATGCTACATATTTTTTTTTACTCCTTGTTGGTTT